TAAGACGTCAACCCATCCTTGCACGGTTTGCCATGTCAACGGCTGGGAAGCTGTGTTACAGAAATTGGCTCCTGTCTTGCCGCTTTCAGACCTGCTGACTACCCCCCTCTATGCCACGACAAAGCACCATCTTGAACCATGGGCTTGATTGGGCTTGCCCATGACATTACACAGATGGTGGACGGAGCCCATGTCAGCCCTGCGAAGGAGGCTCCCATGCCTTCTAATTTCCACAAGCCATCGAAAACGGCCAAAACCGCAAAAAGACTGCCCTGAACCCACAAAAACCTTCTTTTTGTCTTTACAAATATGTTGAAGTCTTAAATCCCGCGCCCGGCTAATATAATACCACTATTCCCAGGGTATAAGGTACTTGGGATCATGCAGGATGTTTAGTATCCACCATAGTTTCTTGTACACTCTTATCATATAGTCGGTGCAGGAAGTGTTAACACCATTACTTGTCATTGTAGCGAGATTAAGCTTACCAAGCGTAATTTCTCCCTAAACCCTAAACCCGAAACCCTAAGCCCAAAACTCAAAACCCTAAACCCAAGACCCAAAACCCAAAACCCTAGCTTCCCCATAGGCACCACCGAGGGGCCTCGCCGGGAAAGACCACGGCAGGCTCCTGGTCGTTGGCCGTGGTACTGTAGAAGGGCAACTCCTCCTGCTTGACTGCTTAGGAGACTTAGGTATGTATTCTGTAGTCTAAGCTTTGGGTACTGCCCCCCTCAGTAACAGTTGGATAATCACTATAATATGGTTATATATAGCCCTTAATAGGACCCTTAATATAGACTGTTACTGGGCGGGCGCAGTACCCAATCTAAACTCCAGTATCCCCTTTAACAACCCCTAGAATACTCCCCTATATAACCTCCCTTCAGGAGTCTTGATCGCAGCTCATGTGGGTAGGTTACAAGATGGGGTTTGAAGTCACCTGTTGAGGGCTCACCTGCTTAAACCCTAAACCTTGGGTACTGCCCCCACCCAGTAACAGTCTATATTAGGGGTCCTATTAAGGGCTAGATATAACCATAATAACATTATTATCCAACTGTTACTGAGGGGGGGCAGCACACAACCAAAACCCTAAAACTGTCTTGTATAGCCTCTGAGTGGCTGTTGCCAAGAAGCTTCAAACCCTGACATGAAATCAATTTTGAGAACGAGCCCGAGATAACCCGCCCCTACACCCACGACCAATAAAGCCTGGACGAAACCCCCAAAACCCGAAATCCCCATTGCGTAGAAGCCGTGGGGTGCATTTAACTTGCGTTACCAAATCTCTACAAGGAATCTAGGACCATATATTATCCCCCATCACCCCTCAAAGGCACCATGTAGTCAACTCAGGCCCCTTCAGAAAATTGTCTTGTCCTAAACCTTAAACCCTGATACCTAAACCCTAAACATGAAACCTGAATCCTAAACCCTAAACCCTAAACCCCCAACCCTAAACCCTAATTCCTAAACCCTAGACACCCCTAAACCCTGATCCCTAAACCCTAAACCCCAAAACCTGCCCAGTCCTCTTCAGCCTCCTCCAATTCCGCAGGCTCCTCCACGCGGTGCAAAGAGAAGCCAACTCGCATGGTCCCGTCGTAGGCCTTACCTTCCTCATAGGGTTGTTTAAGTGTTGGGTTTTAGGGTGTAGGGGTTTAGGGTTTTAGGGTTTTAGGGTTTAGGGTTTTAGGGTTTTAGGGTTTAGGGCTTAAGGTTTGGGGTTTAGGATTTTGGGCTTAAGGGTTCTAGTGTAAGGGTTTAGGATCTGGGGTCTAAACTCCTTCAAGGGGTTATCTAGGGTATGATATAAGGTACTCTTATAGCGGTTCTTAAGTGGTATATTAGGAAAATAGACTATAGCTCACAAGGATTTGGGCTTAAGGGTTTTGGTGCAGGGGCTTAGCGGTTACAACATTAAACCCTAAACCCTAAACCCTAAACCCTACACCCTAAACCCTAAACCCTCTAGGGTTTGGAGCTTGGAGCTTAGGGTCCGGGATTTAGGGTCTAGGGTTTAGGGTTCAGGGTGTTGGGTTTCGGGTTTATGGGGTAAAGGGTTTCAGGGTGTTGGGCTCATGGTTTAGGTGTAAAGGGTTTTAGGGTTCAGGGTTTGGGAGTTTAGGTTTTGGGGTTGGGGTCAGGGCTTAGGAATACTTAGAGGCTTATGGGGCTTCGTGACTAGCTTATAAGGGAAGTATAAGCAGGTCAACCCCAATTAGGGGACTAAAACCTGCTTGTAACCGCCTTACTGCTTCCCCTTTGCCTAAGCGATGGTAATCGGGCCCTAAGGCTGCCAAGTGATGTCAAAGACTCTAGGGTTAGGGTTTCGGGTTTAGGGTTCTAAGGCTTTGATGGCAATGGTAGGAGGGGTAGAGGAGAACAAAACGGAAAAGTAGGTGGAAAGGAAATAGAAAACTCTGACTACGTGGGGTTGATAGGGTTTAGGTCCGTCGGGAGTGCGTGATGGAGGGAAAGGAATATGCAGGTTGCTTTATTATTTTAGTTTCGGGCTTACGGTTTACTCCCTAGTGCATCGGTCTTGGGGACAATCAAATGCAAAAGAAAATGACAAACGGGTCGAACATTGATATGGAATTAGTGGAAATAGCAATAAGCAATAGCAATAGGAAGAGTAAGAGTAAGGTTAATAATAATAGCCATCGTGCTTCAGGATGAAGTCCCCGGTGCTTAGAAGGGAATGGAAAAATTGCAACTAACATGGTGTTTAGGGTGTATCATGGTCAGTTGGGAAACTTGGGGTTCTGTAGCTGAACCCTAAACCCGAAACGCTAAATCCTAGAGCCTAAATGCTAAGCCCTGAAATCCTAAATCCTAAACCCTGGAAGCCAGTCTTCCCGCCCATTCCCCACATGGCACGCGTAAGTCCTGCTCCACCGGGGCAGACTTGCAAAGCTCCTCAGCCACAAAGACCGGACACTCGTTGGACCACCAGTGGCGAATCTGCTCCTACATCTGCTCTGGGCCCCGATGTAGGGTTTAGGGTTAGGGTTCAGGGAGTTCAAACCTCCCAAAAAACAAGTTTAGCCATGTCAGGTATTGATCCGTTTGTGTAACAAACAAGACCTTTAGAACCCTCTGGGGAAAGATCATCTTTAGACATGAAATAAACTGTTTTTTAATGGAGAATAACTTTAGAACCCTCTTGGGGATAGCTCTAGAACCCCTAGACCCTGGGCCGAACTCATTTTGATTAAGCACACCCCTACATCCTAAACCCACCAAAACCCTAACCCCTAAAAACCCTAAAACCCTAAAACCTCAAATTCCTGAAACCCTAAAACCCATTCAGGCTTCCACAGTAAGCTCCTGAAAGCAGCCCCACCCTAAACCCTAAACCCTAAACCGTGTGGCTCCTGAAAGCAGCCCCACTTGCATTCCACCGGGAACTCGGAGTCTTGGCCATCGAGCCAAGCTTCGACGTTGTCCGGCAAAGTCAGTAGGCGCCTTAGGGGTTTAGGCTTTAAGGCTTTAGGGTTTGAGG